AGCAGGGAGCCCGATGCGGGACTCGATCCCAGGACTCCAGGATCATGACCTGAGCCGAAGGCAGTCGCTTAACCAACTGAGCCACCCAGGCGCCCCCCATTCATAGTTTCTTAACTAATCCAGTAAGGTCTTCCTTTCTGGTCCAGGATACAACCCTGGATCGTGTGCACTTAGTTGTCAGGTCTCCTCAGACTCCCTTCAATCTGGAATGGGCCTTCACTTGCTCTGTCTTCCCTTACTGGCCAGTCTTGAAGAGCACGGGCCTTACATTCTGTAGATTGAGCCCCAGCTTGGGTTCACCTGCTGTTTCCTCTTGACCAGACTGGAACCATGCTTTTGTCCTATAAATGAGCCAACGAGGGCCCGGTGTAGCTGGCCCTGTGTTGTTTACTTCTTCACAACAGTTTGGGACCTGCTAGCTCAAAAGCCCTCTGGTGCCAAACCCCATTTTTTTCTTTAACTTGGGAAAAAAAGATGATTTTCCAGATCTCAAGGGTATATTAAGTTATATTGATCATTATACACTATTGGAAGGGAAAGATGGTAGCAAACTTGGTTTCTTACACATACAGTTTAAAATATATCTAAAGTGAGCATATTTTTAGCCATTTAGAGCCTGCCTGCTTTGTTTATCTCTTGAAACTGCACCCAGCATGCGCCATATAGAAGACAAACCCCAGAGCTATAACAGAGCGCAGGACACTGTGCCCTTTGGAGCTCTCTGGCCCAAAGACTCCCTGCCCAGCTGCTGACAATGTCACCTAGACAAATAAGCCCCCTTCCCCCTGGGGCGTGAGGGTGGGGCCTTGCCCTCCTCCCCTCCTGGGTGGTAGGCTCTGTGCTGTTGCTTCTGGGAAGGCTCATTCTGTGAGGGACGTCCCCTGCATGTGAACCGCAGTGCTGCCCAAGTAAAACTGCTGTCACCTTATTGTCACGCTCAGGCCCCCTAATCCCTGCGACTCACTACAGCTTCCTTGGGAAGAATATGACAGAAACCGTGCTATGTTCCTTTTAGTGCAGTTATCAGGAGTTGATGAAAACCGTGACCACCTGGTCAAGTTGGTGTCTCTCAGGTTTCCCCACCTTAAATTTATCTTTTCCTGCTGTTATAGTTGATCAGAATTTTCTGGGGAGGTATTATGAGATTATACCAATTATCTTCCCTAGCATCAAAGCTCCAGCCAGTGACCTTGGTATCCACTACCCGCTCCTGTTTGTCCTCCTGCATCGTGATTGCCAAACACAGACTTTCTCATCCCATCATTCCTTCTGCGGTATTCGGGACTTTGTCTTACAATAATGACAACCAGTTACTCAGTGGGCTGGAATCTGTTACTCTCATTATTTGCTTTGGTATGCACATTGCCCCCATGTGGCCAGTGGAAAGCCCTTCAGGGCTGGTTCCTCTGGCTCTTTGACAGGTATCACCTTTTTTTTTTTTTTGAGCACTGTTTTACTTTCTGACACAAGCTATTCCAGGCTCCTCTTTTACAGTCCCTGTCTTAGCCCTGGAATCAGACACTTCCCCAAACATGCCTGGTTCCTTTTAGCAGTAGGTGGGATTTAGAAACCAAGATCTGGGCACTCAGCGTGCCCACTGCGGCCGGGCCCTCAGAGCAGACAGAGATAGAAAACATACGTGTGTATGTATGTCTCTGTATGTATATGCCCATGACTGAGTGTGTACGTACACAGACGTAGGTAGATGTATTTATATATAACACACATCTATAGTTTTGTATCTGTAAATATATTATAAAACTATGAGTCTGTACAATACCTCCAATCCAAACAGAATACCTCATGGTTCTTTCTTTTTTTTTTTTTTTTATTATTTTATTTATTTATTTGAGAGAGAAGGAAAGAGAGCACAAGCTGAGGGAAGAGGCAGGGCAAAGGGAGAAGCAGGCTTCCCGCCGAGTAGGGAGCCCAACGCGGGGCTCGATCCCAGGACCCCAGGACCACGACCTGAGCCGAAGGCAGACGCTCAACGACTGAGCCACCCAGGTGCCCCCTTCATGGTTCTTTCTAACCTTTTCCTAAATTTCTTCTCTGCCAGTGAGAAACTTAGCTCCCACTTTTTAAAAATCTATTTACTTATTTGCTCAATGTCCAGCCTCCTGACCACACTGTTCCTCTCCTCATCCTGTGAGCCCTGGGTTCCCCTCTGTTCCACAGCCTTGGCCTCTAAGCCTGCCCCCAGCTTTTTCATGCAGCCGCCCACCCTGCCCCCTCCCCATGTTCTCAACCACTGTGCTAACTTGCCCCTGCCTGGAAGAAAAAATGTCCTTTATATATTTTTATATGCAAAAATGAATTCTCCCCTTCCTACTACACACACACACACACACACACACACTTTTTTTCAATAGTGACATACATATATATTTATAGTCAATCCTTGTTATTTGTGATATTTATGTTTAGAAAAATGCTGTGAACACTGAGTTATTGAAAATAAGTGAACCATTGCTCTTAATAGAGTCAGGTGCTTGGCAGCCTCTGGTCACAATATTTTTATCAACTGATCGCTATCTAACCTTGTTTCTGTGTGTTTTCTGTTCAGGGACACCTTATTTAATACACACGGTTGCTTCATTAGCATTGAACTAACGGCCAACAGCACTATCATTCACACCTGAATGAAGTTAATCTAACACCTATATATTTTTTTTCCCCTGGGCTCATCATGGCCTTCTTGTACTCAAGAACACTAGACAGCATTTCAGCGTTAAACTTGGGGGCACTTTTGACAGTGCCATCACTCAACAAAAAATGCAAAAACATGACGCTAAATAGATCCTCAGAAGGACGTGCATTTACAGCATGAGCTGAAGCAAGAAGGCAGGCCAGCACTGTGTTTGACCTCAGCTGGGATTCAGATTTTTCACCGCTCTGTGCATGTCCACAGACGACCACAGATGTTCCAGGGGCATTGATTTGGGGTTACAAATAAGTGTTAGTGAGCAGGCAAACTTGCAAATACAGACTCCGGAAAAAAAATTAAAAGGAGGATAGACTGTATTTACATTAAAAAAAAAAAAAAACCCTAAAAGCCTACCGGGTAGATAAGGAAGGGCATCAAAAATGACATTAGCCTTGTGCATTGCTTTAGTGTTTTTTTTGGGTTTTTTTGCAAGGAGAATGTCTTCATACATTTCCAATCTATTTATAATTTTATATTTTAAAAAGAAAAGGGGGCCTGGACTGCCTCTGGGTATCTAGAGATAACCTTAAAAGACTGGAAATGTTCTTTCTCCTGTCCTCATAGGCTGTCCTTCTCTGGCCTGGGAAGTGTGCTTTCCACTGATCTTTCAGGAACCAGCACTATGGATTTGCCGTATCAGTGTTGGTCTGCCTGTGCATGGACTTTTGGATGAAAGAGGAACGAACTTCTGTCTTCTTTAAGTTGCTGTTATTATGGGCCTTACGACAACAGCGAAACTCATCTGCACAGATGGGGTTTATCTAGGACCATAGCTGTTAATCAAGACTGATGGGGGCTTTGATGGAAACAGTTTACCTGTAATGAGGGCTTTTGGGCCTCAGACGCAGCACGCCGTTTGCCTTCTCAGTGCCCCTTTCTCTGGGAAGGTGTGAGTCTTCAACAGCTGTTGAACAGGGGGTCTGTTTTTATACATTCCCACCCCCCTCCAGACACAGAAGGTCAAACTCACATAACTAGTCAGAATTTGAACCCAGAACTGATTTCAGAGCCTGAACTTCTCCACAAAGGACAAAATGTTTGAATCTGCGGCCAAAAATCAGGACATGGGATGCTGAAGTGCTTTATTATCAGAACTTGTTGGGAGAGTTTCCAGGTTGCTTCCAGGAAGACCAGTTGGTTTGGGGACCCACTTCTTCAAACTTGTGAAGGCTTTTCTTTCTGATAATCTCAGTCAGTCCTCTGGGGAGAAAAAAAAATCTAATTGGAACCCACAAGATGAGATCTTTCTTTCAAAACAAGCAGTTCTTTATAGACCTCCCCAAAAGCTTCCCTGGGATCATGTCTTGAAGGTTCATAGGAATTCAGAGATCTGTGATGATCCAGTACGACTGGGGTCCTTGTTAAAAAAAAAGGGGGCAATATGGACACAGGCAGGGCATCTACAAGCCAAGGAGAGAGGCCTCAGAAGAAGCCAACCAGCCAGTACCTTGCTCTTGGACTTGCAGAAAATAAAGTCCTGTGGTGGAAGCGGGTGAATCTGTGGTACTTTGTAGCTGCAGCCCTAGCAAGCTAATGTGGGTGAGTTGGCTGGGGGCCTCAGAAGACAATGATTTGACCACAAAAGGATTACCAGGGGCCTTTGGGACAACTGAAAATTTATTCTACTATCCACCTGCTCTTGCATCTAGCTGGATTCCCCCAAACCTATCAGTGACCCTGAGTTAGGGGGACTCCTCTGGATGAGACTTGGGGAGAGGAGAGGAACAGGGGTGGGTGGGTGGGAGTTGTTCAAATCCCCATCCCTTGCCCTCTGTGATGGACCAACACGCCTCATTCCTTGGGTCCCTGGCAAGTAGCACTTTTCCCCACCGAAGTTTCTGACAAAGGCCTGCTCCAGAGAAGCTACAGTATACCATGTGGGCATTTTTCTGATAGAGAAAGCATGAGTTGAGACCAGGCCTAGAATCCCTGGCAACCAAATGTGCATTTGTGTGCGGTCTCTGCAGCTCTGCTCACAGACCCGCCTGCCACACAGGGGAGACCACCTCCGTTGGACTCGTTCAAGGCCCGGCCCAGCAAAGCCAATCTCACCGTTGGGACAGCCAAGAGCAGCTCCACCAGAGAAGTCAGTGGTAGAATTTTTCAATTTGCTTTTTGTATTTCTGGGTGACAAAATGTCTCCGAATCTTTGTCGCCGGACCTATCGAGAAAGGAGAGACCAGTTCAGATGTGGGGATGAAATAAAAGTCCACGTGTCCCGTGTGTGGGCAACAGGGTCCCGTGACTGGGGCAGCCCGGGGCTGGCTGGGGCTGGCTCTGCCATCGACTTCGTGGGTGCACTGCCTTCACCATCAGTGTGGGGATGATGGAACCCTCCCCTCGCCCCGGGCTGTGGGGTGAGGACTGTGTGAGCCGGCAGGCAAACAGCATGCCAAACTCTGTGCCTCATGTGGACGGTGCACCCCACGAAGGGGGCACACCACCCCCTGATTTTACAGGTGAGGAAACGGGCTCAGAGAGGGCCAGTTGCTCTGAGCTGACCCAGAACGTGCAGGCAGGGGCAAGACTTGAACTCAGGCCCTGATCCATGCCCCAGGCTGCTCACAGGATCTGGGTCACCGTGGGGTTCAGGCTTCCCCAGCTGTGTCCTGAGCAGCCCCACGAGGACTGCATTTTCAACTTGTGGTTGAAAGAACCAAGGATTGGAGGGACAAGTCGACTTGGAGGGGACAGGATTTGAGCCCAAGTTGCTGGAGGCTGTGTGCTTGCCGTCACTCTTAACTCTGCAATCCATGCCATCAGATTACAGCTGAGTGCAGAGAGCAAGCCCCAGAAAGGACATTGAGGGAAAGCAAGACCCCCGCCCACCCTGGAGTGAGCCCTCCCCTCATGGGGCAGACAGACAAAGATCAGTTAATACGTAGGGTAATTTCAGACTATGATGTGTTACGGGGCAAGATGGCGGCTTATAGGAGGTGGGATGGTGAGCTGCGGGGCTGCTCTCTTAAGGGCAATGGTGAGTCGCGTTAGCCAGGATGGGCAGAGAAGGCTGCTTGAGGAAGTGGCCTTGAGGGTGAGAAGGAGCCGAAGAATTGAGGGGGGAGGGCATTCCAGGCAAAGGGAGCAGCAGGTGCAAAGGCCTGAGGCGGAGCTGTGCCTGGAGAGTTGTGAGAACAGCACAGAAGCCTGTGGAGTTGGGGCAGAGTAAGTGAAAAGGAGAGGTCAACAGGAGAAAGATCATGCAGAGCCATAATGAGGATTTTGGCTTTTATTCCTAGAGCAGGGGATGTGCTGCCCTGGGGAGAAGGGACGTGTGTGTGTGGGCGGGGGAGCTGTGCACCAGTGAGCTGGAAGTGGACCCTCAGACCCCCAGAAAAGGGCACATCTCCTCAGTTCCCATGTGGCCCTGGACACTAGCAAGGGACCAGCCTCCAAGTGCCAAGGCCACCTGCTCTCCAGGCTGCTCACCCATCTCTCCATTTTGGACAGAAAAGTCCTTCTCCAGGATGACCCACTTATGGATCCTCTGCGCATTGGAAATGGCTTCCTGATTCACAGCATCTATGCCTTGCTGGATGGCCCTATAGACCAGGGGGTCCTGCAGCTCCAAAATCTCAGAGACAGTGGACACATGGCTTCCCAGGTTCCGGCAGAAGTGGATGGCCTCCAAGCTTAACTTGTCCAGTGGCTCTCCGTTCATCTCGTCGACCTCACACTGCCCAAGACACCCTCGTCACCACACCCAATGACCACGCACACTCCCCGGCCACACCTGAGGACCAGGAAGTGGGTCTCGAACCCACAGGGGTGCACCCTCTGGACCCTGGGGCAGAGACCCCCCAGCAGGACAGCAAACCCTCCTTACCTTCAGCGTCAGCAGGATGCTCAGAAACTTTGCCCTATCTCCCACTAACAGGGCATTACTGATTATGGGAATCTTCTCTTTAACCAAGTTCTCAATGGGAATAGGGGCCACGTTCTCACCACCGGCTGTGATAAGGATTTCTGGAACAAAGCATGGCTCAGTGAAGGTTCAACCGTGACCGTACAAAAGCCTTACCCCCTCAAGGATCAGAGGGGACAGATGCTGACACAGATGACTGCTCACTTAGAAAAACCCAGAAGCAGAGGAGGCCCCCTGCCCATGGCCAGAACTCCCACCATGCCCTTCTCCAAGCCACAGACCAAGCATCACTCTGCTCTTCCTCCCCTGTCTCCTTAAAATTCCCATCAGATATCCAAAGTCCTATGCATTTCACTTGGACAGCACTGTATTAATCCTCTGCCTGTTTCTTGGTCCTCTGCACCCTGTTCCAAGCCCTCAAAAATCTTGCTTGGAAGATAGTGCAGTGCTTCTGGCCATGCCCTGTCTCTGTCTCCTGATTTTTCTACCACTTGGCAACCCCAGAAGAACCTTTAAGAGAATTGTGTCACTTTTCCCCCCAGCCTCTCAAATGCTCCAAGAGCTCCTCCTCCTACCCCAGATCTGTTCACTTGCTCTTTCATCTAAGGATGCTGGCTGCCTCCTATCCCATCCACCCAAACTCTCTGTGTCTTATCCCATGATCTTTCAACCATCCCTACTGTGGTGGGAAGGCAGTGGTAATTATATGATTGCGATGGACACCTGTGGTGGTGTCCGCCAGTGACTGAGGTATCCAGCCCTGCTGTTTGTTGGGGAACTCTTCCCTCCATCTCAAACGCTTGTGGTTTGGGCAAGGACTGCAAGGATGAGCATGTGACCAGGTCCGACTGGCCAGCACACTCCGTCTCTGCAGAGATTCATCTTGAGATGGGATCCAGTGAGATCCAGACCTAAAACTTTGGCTGTCCCTTGGTGGTTAGGGTGAGCCTGGGCTGTTGGCAACCATCTTGTCACCAAATGGGAAAAGCCTCTCCAAGAACGGCCCCAACACCAAGGAAAGCTCAGTAAGGGAAGGATAAAGCAATTCCTTTGATGTTAATTGGGCACCTGGGTCCAGCCGAGCCTGAAGTGAGACCTCTTGGACTTCTCCATTTTTGAGCCAGTAGTTTCTCTTTTTCGCTCACACCTATTTCAGAAGGCTTTTCTGTCGCTTATCACGGAAAGGATACTAACCTAGCCCACTTACTGAATAAGTTACTGCCTATGTCGGGCTCACTGCTGAATGCTTTGTCTACACTAGAGGTCGGCAAACTGCAGCCTGTAAATCAAATCCAACCTTCCATGGGTTTGTGTGGCCATGAGCTAGAAATGGTTTTTATATTTTTACATGGTTGGAAGGAAATCCCAAACATAATAGTATTTGGGACACATGAGAATTATATGACATCAGTGTGGGCACATGGCCAGGTCCATTTGTCTATTAGGTGTCCATGGCTGCTTCTGTGCCACCCTGGCTGGGCTGAGCAGCTGTGACACGGACCGTATGTCCTGCAGATCCCAAAAATATTTACTCTCAGGCCCTCCGCAGGAAGAGTCGGCTATCCCTGTTCTATAGCATCTCATTGAATCCTTACTTGTTAATAGTGCTGTGGATTATTATGCTCCCCGAGCTACAGGGGAGGAGACAGGTTTCAGGACTCGCGTGGGTATCTTCCCTAGGGCCCTTCTGCCGGGGGGCCAAATGCCGGGCACAGGGGAAGAGCTGGATTCCCCGGAGGGCAGTGTCTCCGTGTTATCTGTGTGGGGGCCCCCCCTGGAAGGTGGGGGGCCGGGAGCCTCAGTGCTGGTGCACCAGGCCCTTCAGCGTTTGGGGTGGGCCTGCCCGCAGGAAGCGCCTGAAGAGCCAGCCCCAGTACCTTTGATGCGGCCTGTGATGTAGAGGAAACCCTGGTTGTCCATGCGGCCCAGGTCCCCAGTGTGTAGCCAGCCTTCCTCATCGATGACCTCCATGGTCTCGTCTTCCATTTCCAGATAGCCCATGAAGACGTGCCGACCCCAGATGCAGATCTCCCCGATGCCTTCCTTGCTCTGCTGGTACAGCATGTTCTTACACCCAGCCATGATTTTGCCACAGCTGCCAGGGAGTGGGAGGGGGAAACCAGGGCTCAGGAAGACAAGGTCACCCACCCAGGTCAGCCTGGGTCCGCAGCCTGGGCTCCCCTGCGGGATCTGCTGCTCTCACCCTCTCCAGGACCCGGTGGGCATGAGGAGGTGTACACGTAGTTCCAAGAAAAGGAAATACAAATGGGTTTGAAATGAATGCAAAGAGTTTTTTTCAACTTCACTCGTGACAAAAGGAACGTATGTGAAAGTTGTGTTGAGGTACCATTTTGTTTTACCAACTGGTTTAGCACCATGGATGGTGTGCGTGCAAAGTGTTTGTTTTGGCATTGTTTGTGGTGACCCATGATGGAGAATAAGCCATAAAGTATCACCAGTAAGAGGACCAGTTAAGTAAATGATGGTGCGTGCACCCAGGGGGACACACTGCTGCTTTTAAAGGTGGGGCAGGCGCTTCCTATAGGGAACATTCTCTACAAGATAGGAATCTCTCGCCAGCCAAATCCATTTGGTTCCTGAGCTTGGATGATGTGAATCAAGACCGATTGGAAGTTCGTATTATGAACCCGGATAATGAAGGACACAGGGTTATCTGACCTCATTTGGTTCCCGAGCTTCAGAGAGGATGAGTTCTGTGTTCATTTTAACATGGAAAACGCTTTTGTTGGGGAGAAAAGCATGTATGTCCATGCACCGCTTATGCCCCCTTAGCTCAAGAGCAATGGTGTGGTGGTTTGGCCTCTGGGAGGGTGTTAGGGGTTGAGTTGTGCCCCTCCCTCCCATCATATATGGTACTGTGAATCCCCAGCACCTCAGAATGTGACCAGATCTGGAAACAGGATCATTGCAGATATAATGAGTTAAATTAAGATGAGGTCATACTGGAGTAGGGTGGCCCCAAATCCAGGCTGCCTGGTGTCCTTACAAAAAGGGGAAGTTTTTATTTCCGACACACACACGGGGAGAACCACGTGAAGATGAAGGCGGAGATACAGGGGATGCGTCTACAAGGCCAGGAACACCAGAGATGGCCAGCAACGGCCACACGCCAGGGGAGAACCCAGGACAGATTCTCCCTCACCCTCTCGTTGAACCAGCCTGCCCACACCTTGATCTCGGACCTGTATTCTCCAGAATTGTAAGAAAAATTTTTTTGTTTAAGTTTTGGGGAACTTTGTTAGGGTGGCCTTAGCAGGCTCCCTGGAGGTTTGGGGTGGGAGGGAGGACGCTTTTCACTCTGTCATTTTATGCCTTCTGAGTTTTTGGACATGGACATGTATTCCTCGTTGAAAAACACTATTTAAAGATGGAGGCTGGAGCTTATACCTTTCCTCCAGGCTTGGAGCAAGGTCACTTCTCTTTAGGAATTCTTTGGTTTTGGAAAAACTGCAGTGGGCATTTGGGTTATGCAAAAAATAGACCTCAGATGGGATGATGGAGTGGGGACGGGGGGATGCTGAGGTGTAAATCTCCCCCACAAGGCAAAGTAAAAGGCAGGAGATGGTTTTGCCATATTAGGAAGACTGAACTTAGTTTTTGCCAAGTTCAAAGGCGGTTGGAACCTGACCAAGCATGAGAGGAGAGCTGGACTTGGAATGTGCCAGCAGGGAGGGGGTCAGGGAGAGACAGTGGGAGGCCCTGTGGCTGTCAGACCCAAAGAGTGGAGCTCGTCTTTGGTATTCTTCCTGCTTCTGTGTCACTGGGCTCACTGCTTGCAGCCTGGAGCCAGGTGAGTTTGGGAGAAAGCTAGAAAGGGCCCGTGAACGTGTTTCAGATGGAGCATGGTGGAGATGAAGGGTCTCAGGAGGTGAACCTGGGGTAGGTGAGCCTGGGGGGGCCATCTGGAGGCAAAACTCACAGGTGACAATTGGGGAGACCCTGGAACATTCTAAGAGCCCTTGTCCATGGGCTCTTGGACAAATGGGGGCTTCCCTTGTTGTGAAGATTTAGGGCTTGGAGGCTGGAGAACAGGGGTCATTCTGGAGACTCAAGTCAGGGTTCACCTTAGCCCCGTGACTCGCCCACCCTCCCACCTTAAACCCCAGTACCCCATGTTGCTGGAGGGCTGGGGGTCTTTCCAGGAGGCTGGTACCTGTGAATCTTATAGTTATTCTGGCTGGGTATGGTGTGGGGTCCTGTGCTTTCAGTCATCCCATATATCTCGCTTATCGGCAAGTCCAGGCTTAGGAAGAACTCAGACGTCTCTTGGTCAAGAGGCGCAGCCCCGCTGATAGAAAAGCGGCAGTAATCAAGGCCAAGGTCACTCCTGACTTTGCTGAACACGAGGGCCTTCGCCATGCGGTAGCTCATGGGAGTGTCATGTATCCTGTGAAAAAGAATGCCAAGGGCAGCTCAGCAACCATGGAGCCGAACGGGGGTTGGTGGGCACCAGCTGGAGAAGGCTGAGCCCCCTTCCCCATGGCCCTCTCCCTGCCTATCCCCGCTGGACCCTCCACCTACCCCGACATCCTTTTTGTATTGACCTTTAAGCCAATAACTCTTCCCCATGAAAACACCTTCTTCCTCAAGCTTGAGAATTTGATACCATTTTCTTTGATCACCTCCTGCATCTTCTCCCAAATTCGGGGTACCCCCAAGAAGGTGGTAGGCTTTACTTCCTGCAGAGTGTTGATCAGGGTACCCTGCAAGGGACCAAGCTGGGTTAGTCACACCTGTACCCTGCCTGGAACCCAGATGTCCGTCTCTCCCCAGCCCACCAGCTCAGCCCCGGAGAAGCTTCTCTCGGCTGATGGGACCAGGGCGAGCGCCCCACCCAAGGGAGCCAACCCGCTGGTGGGCTGGTGGCCAATCAGATTTCACTCTCTGGGTGAAATCTAGGGATTTGGTGGAGAACACCCAACTGGTAACAAAGGCTGACCCAAGGACGCAGTGGACTATTGCACAACTGTTAAAAAGGATGTAAGATTTGTTCCCAGACAGATCTGTAGGTTCAGTGCAATCCCTTTCAAAATCCAGGCAGACTTTTCCATGGATTGACAAGGCCATCTCAACATTTATATGGAAATGCGGAGGACCTAGAATGACCCAAGCAGTTTTGGAAGAGAAGAACAAAGTGGGAAGAATTACTATCCGATTTTGAAATTTATTCTAAAATAGGGTGATTGGCCATCCTGGTTTGCTCAGAACCCAGGGAGTTCCTAGAAGGTGGGATTTTCAGTCATAAAACTGGGAATGTCTCAGGCAAACCAGGGCAAGGTGGGCATCGTGCCAGCAAGCCAGAGAAGTCCCACCAGTGCGGTTTGGGTGTAAGGCTTGACATACGGTTCAACGGGACAGAATAGAAAATCCAAACATGAATCTCTACATTTATGAGCAATTCACAGTCAGTGAGAGTGCCCATGAAACTCAGCGGAGGGAAGTCCTGTCCTGTCCTGAAAAATAAAAGCAAGAACTCCGTTTAGTGTCTTCTCACTACACGCAAAAGTGAACTCAGGATGGAGCCCAGACCCAGGCGTGAGAGCTAAAACCGGAGGCTCTGTGGGGCACATGACAGAGACCTCTGTGGCCCCGGGACGGACAAGGGCCTCTTGCATATGGCACCACACTCATGAAAGAAAAGAGAAAGACTTCATCGGAGTTAAAAATGAAAAGACACGCCACTGGGAGAAGGTGTTGGCAAACGGATATTTGGTCAAGAGCAACCATAAGAAGAGATGCAGCCACGTTGTGAAATGAACAAAAGATTGGCACAAACACTTTTCTCCCAAAGAAGGTCAACAGCTGGCCACCAAGCCCATGAGGAGGCACTCGCCACCGTTCGTCATGAGGGGTGGTGCCTCCCACCCACTTTGAGAAGCAGTGGCGTGGGCAGCAGCCCCGTGTCAATGAGGATGGGGAGGAGCCAGGCCTCTTACAGGCTCTGGAGGGGGAGGGGGGCATGAAATGGGGCAGCCACTTTGGAAACAGTCTGGCAGTTTCTTAAAACGTTAAAAGATACCTTTATCACTCGCCGCGTGTTCGGTTGGTCGTTTGGAAACTGTTGATGGTTTTTGGAGATGATAAGGGTATGGGGGGAGGGGTGGGAACTTCTCAGTCCCGAAGGTGCGTGGGTGCATGTTACACAATCAGCCAGAGAAGAACGTATTTATCGAGTGGCTACAACATCCCAGACACTGAGCACTGGGGTGGAGTGGGGGGGTGGGGAGAGGGGCCAAGGAGATACTGAAGCAGAAAACAAAATGACAAGGAGGAGATGTGGTTAAGGGCCTTGAGATGGGTTTGGTTTTTGGAGCTTTTTGGGTGCTGGGAATGCTGACTTTAAAAAAAAAACCAAAACCCCACACACACATTCTGCTTTCAATACCAGTCACATCTTAGTTTTGGATTGTTCAGTGCACAATCCATACACCCATATGTGGATGCCCTGACTTGGGTAAAGATAAAAACTAAAAGAATGTGGTCAGCTGTTTTCATTGCTCCTAAATGGAGCATAAGATGAGGAGAGAGAAGGAACCCCTGGATCAAGGGGCTTAACGGAACTATCCACTGACCCCAGGCTGCCCTCAGCCTTACTTTGAGAGCATCTGATTGAGCAAAGTAGGTGAAAGCTCCGATCTTCATGGGTATCCAGATATCCATCATTTGAGCTGCAATGTGGCTGAGGGGAAGGTAGCTGACCACCACCTCCTGCTTTTCTGAGGCGCAAGACAGGCCACTGTTCCTTGCCACTGTGCTCGCCGTCCACGTGATCTAGAACACAAGTCAGGCTTACGATCCAGGGGGGCCCCCCCATCCCGTTCTCGCTGGAGGGCCATTTAAATGCAATTACTTAACAAACACTTACAACACACCTACTGTGTGCTGGGCCCTGCTCTCATGATTTCCAAACATGAAGTCATCACATGCTGGGTCGGTAACTACGATCCTTTATACTTTACAGATGGAGAAACAAAAGCCCAGAGTGGTTAACGAACTTGCCTAAGGCTAGGAGGAACTGTAAAAGGTAGTGGGCAGCTTTGGGGGTTGAACTGACCCCCTTGGATCCAACAACAGAGCCTAGAATTGCAACGTCTATATGCACAGTCAGAAATCTAACGGATTCAGTAAGTGGCCCAGGATCCAATCCTGGCTCCACCGTTTGCTAGCTCAGTGACTGTGGGCTCTTTGCTCACCTGTAAAATGGGCACAGGGGCTTCTCGTGTCCGACAAACCAAAAGGCCACCCATAATCCCATCACACAAACACCCAACAATTAGCATATGCATGTTTTTCCTTCTCCAGCGCATGCCTCGATGTGTCGTTTTAGCAGCGGTATAATTTTGCAGTCTGTATTTCTCACTGATGTCATCCATCTCGGGCAGACGGTTACCTCATTAACCCAGCCACACAGGCCTCCACACTGTTCCTCTCACACACAAGGCATGGTCCTGCCTCAGGGCCTTTGCACAGGCTGTTGCCTCTGCTTGGACAATGCTCTTCCTCCAGCTTGCCCCGCGACTGAGTCTTTCTCGAACGTAACATTTCTGCTTGAATGCCACGCCACCTCTGAGAGGCCGTGTCACATCTCGCAAACTGAAGTTGCCGTCGTCTAAGTCTCTAGGTGCCGTCGCCGCAACCCACGTGGTTTTATTTGCTCGCTCCCTGTCTTTCCGAGGGCCCTGATTGGGCCTGTTTGGTTCAGTGCTGTGTCCCCAGCACGAAGTAGGGACTCGGACACATTTTTGTTGACTGAGCGAGGAGACAGAAGGGCTATGTAAGTAGGGTGGAGTCTGCAAAGCGCCGGCCCAGAGCGAGCCCTCAGGACCAGAGTCACTTCTCCCCCTGGGCCTCAGGAGGGAGGGATTTTACTTCTCTCCCCGTAGCCCCGTCACTGACAGCCAGTGCTCCGAGGCACCCAGCACCCGTTTGTTGAGGGAAGGGGCTTGGCGTGTGTAGACGGTGATGCATCCAGGGCTGTTGCCGCTCCTGGGTTCGGGTCCTGGCTCAGGGACGTGGAGCACATCATTTTCCCTCTCTGAGCCTCAGTTTCCCTGTCTGTGACCGGGGTTAGTGACACCTGACCTCCTGGTGAGGGGTTTAGCGAGGGTAAACAGGTGCCTAGCTCAGCGTGGCGCAAAGCGCCCTGGGAACGGGAGCAACTCTGAACTGTTGATGCGCGTGGAGAGTATTGGGCTGGCTTTGACTTCCTGTCTAAAGATGGTGGTGCCTTACAAACACGAACAGCCAGCCCTGCGTGGCTCACTGCGCGCCGGGCGTTCCTGCTTATGCTGCGGGGTCCCCGCGACGCCGCCCCCCGGAGCTGGAGTCTGCTGTCCTCTCCCTTCATGGGGCTGTTTTGAAGGTGTGAGCCTTCAAAAGAAGGACCAGGAGTGACCCTGGGTAGCTTCAGACATCGAGCCTCCACCTTTGTCTCGGGGGTGCTCGCTCTGGGCGGGGGGCGGGGGGCAGCCACCACATGAAGTTCCACAGCCCTGGAGCCCCCGCCCCGTGGGGGACCCTGGGCCACGTGAGACAGGTGAGTGCCACCCTTCCGCTGGCCCAGCCCTGGTACCAGCTGGGATGGGAGAAACTCCCTGCTGAGCCCAGGCCTCTGCCTCAGCCCCAGACCCAGAAGTCACCCGCCCCCAGGCTTTAAGTCTTTGAGTCATAGGACAGCTTCTTACGTGGCATCCATTAACCGACACAGGATGTGGGATCATTCACTCTGTGAGGCGGCTCTGAGAGGGCAGAAGCCATTCTCGTCTCCATCTTACAGATGGGGAGACGGAGGCCCAGAGAAGATGAGGAACTTGTCCCAGGTCACGCAGCTGGCAGGTGGGAGAGCCGGGATTCAGAGCCAGGCAGCCTTGCTCCAGGGCATGTGCCCGTCACCCTGACGGCAGGAGACTCTCTTACCGCACATGAAGTCACTAGGAGGAGAGACGCCAGCCAGGGCAGGCTGAGGGTCTGATGAGATTCCTGTCATTCGTTTACTCGCTCAGCTGATAGAAGCGGATAGCGTCCTCCTGCGCATCAGGTGCTGGAGACACGGCCGTGACGGGAGCGACAAGCCCTGTCCTTGAGGAGCTGATGTGCTCGAGAAACAGGTGACTCTATAATATTGTCACGGTGAGAAAAGCAGCAGCCAGAGGGGGTTTAGAAGCGAACAGAGTGGTTTGTTCTTGTTTGCCCTTTTAAACATGGGAGTCCAGGAGGGCTTCATGGAGGAGGGATCTGAAGGAGGAGAAGCAACAAGCCGGGCGGCTCTCTGGCAAAGGGAGCATGCAGAGGGAACAGCCAGTGCAAAGGCTAGTGTGTCCGATAACTATTAATCCAGGCTGGGAGGAGACTCCTCGTTGAAAAGCCAGCGATCTTTCTGAAGGAAAACCACTGTTGCCAGTCCGGTGCATGTCCTGCCGGACACTTTCCTGCTCTTAAAATGTACGCATGTGCGCATTGCTTGCTGCCGCTTCTTAGTTTTTAATGAAAAGCATATTTTGCTGTGCGTATACTCCTCTGCAACTGGCTTTAAAATGTTTGCATCGCATTGCCAGACAGTTTGACACATCAGCTGCGCAGAGCTACGGTGTCTTTAAAAATGTGCACTGTGAGGGGCACCCAGGGGGCTCAGCCGGTTACGCGTCCGACTCTCAGTTTCGGCTCAGGTCATGATCTCATGGGTCGTGGGATCGAGCCCTGCATCGGGCTCCACGCTCAGCGGGGAGTCTGCTTGAGATTCGCTCACGCTCTGCCCCTCCCCCCACTCTCTCAAATGAATCAATACATCTTTTAAGAAAGAATGTGTGCCGTGAAGCCAGCCTGCCTGCGTAGGTTCAGTCTCCAGCACGTTGCTCTCTCTGTGAGCTGGGCCAAGTTATAGAACCTCTCTGGACTCCAGTTTTTCCACCTGTAAAAGGAGCCTGGTAGAATTGGGAGGCTTGCCGTGAGGATTTACTAAGTGTAAAGCTCTCGGAACAGTGCCTGGCATGTACTGAGCTGTGACTGTCTCTCCTGCTCTTTTTTTTGTTTTTAACAGCTTTATTGAGGTGTAACTGACATGCAGAGAGTTTGACACCCCCTGACATTTGTCTCCACCAGTGAAACCATCACCAGCCTCCAGATAGTGAACATGATGTCACCCCTCTGTCATGCCTCCCTTTGCCACCCTCCCCCCACCCAGGCAGCTCCGGGTCTGCTTTCTGTCCCTACGGATAAGTTTGCATTTTTTAGAGTTTTATAGAAATGGGATCTTTTAGGATCTGTTCCCTTATTTTTCTATAACAGTGGTCTAAAGTACTATCACCTATGGACTCCATCCAAACATATATATGTCTTTCCCAGACATGCAGCCCTTCTTGAGTAACCAAAATATCAACTTCTGCTTTACTTCCAAAACACAGAATGTATATTCTGCTCTTTCACCTGCTTGTTTTATTATTGAACACTGTTCTGTGCTCTCTACAAATATATTAACTCTTTATTTTCAAAGCAGCCCAGGGGCAGGGACTGTCCCATTTTACAGATGTGCAAATGGAGGTTTGGAGAGGTTAGGTGTCTGGCCCAAGAACACAAGGCAGGATTTGAACACAGGTCTGCTCTCAAGTCCCTAATCTCCGCCCCTGCACTGTGCTGCCCTCTTGGAAGTTTTTGCATGACTCTCCGTGCTTTGCTGGCTAGGGAGCCATGGTGTGCCAGACCCCTGAACGCCACCCTGCCCACTGTGGGTCACGAATAGAAAGAGCCGGAGGGCCGCTGGCCCATGTGCAGGGACTCTGGGTGCTGCGAGGTTCATCACCATGGGCAGAGACAGCACTTACGTTGTCATGGCTAAGCATTACTCCCTTGGGATTGCCTAAGGTCCCAGAAGTGTAGATGATCATAGCACACTGATTAGCCCTCTGGCTTTCCATGATCTCGTCCAGCTGGGAATCGGGGATGCTGTTGCCAAGTTCCATGAAATCATTCCACTGTGGAAAGAAAAGACAGGCAGAGGATGGGGACTCGGGAAGTGAGGGTAAGCCTCAACACGCCAGGAGTCCCCTTCCCTAGTCAGGTCTTGCACCATCAGCTTCTCTAAAGCATGATTGCCAGCAAGAGGGAAGGCTTAGGGTCACCAGTCCTGATACCTCTTACAAAAGCCCTAAGATGTTTGCTTCTCCTCCTTCACTTCCTGGCAGGCTACTGGGTCTGGACATGTGACCGCAGCTGGTCCAGTCATAGTGAAGGTCAGGGCTTTTGCTAGAAGTGCTGGGACTGGAATGAGTCATCTGGACATGAATGAGTCAAGATGTAGCCCCAGGAGTTGCCTGAGGTCACACAGCAAGTAAACAGGAACTAGCAGTCTAAACCAATATGGTCACACTCCGAAGCCTGTGCTCTTATTGACCTTCCAATACGACGCCTCAAAAGGAACTGTTGGGTTGTATGAACTGAGAATCACACAGGACCTGCGAAAATTCTACCACTGAGCCCCCAGCAAGTCTCTGGATGAGGGCAATGCCCTGAATTCAAGATGGAGGGCACACAGCATCCTCCAGAAGTGGAACCGGGGTGATGCAGGCCCTGTGACATCAAGTCATGTCCGAGGGCATTTCTGGTTGGTTCAGCAGGGAGGGTGTTGCTGGCATCTAGTGGGTGGAGGCCAGGGGCGCCACTTGGCATCCTGCAATGCACGTGACGGCCCCACAACAAAGAATTATCCACCCCAAATGTCCATCGCAATGAGGTTGAGAAATCCTACTCTAAGTAGTGTTGCTAACAAAGGAGTTCTTTTGAGGTATCCCAAAGACTTCAAAAAAGTCTTTGATTCTGATCAGTTTTCTTCCTTAATTATTCGTCATCCTGGTTTTAATATTTGAGTGTTTTCTGGCAGGTACGAAAGCTGTCAAGGGTTTTGGTCGGCCAGAAAGGATCATGGGCACCTTTTGTCCCACCTGTATGGAGGGCAAACCAAATAAACTCTGTGACATTGCAGGACTTCTGATTTGAGTCATGAGTTTGAGGGTCTCATCTCATGGACATTAGCAGGAGCTTGTCCTTGTCCCTCACAAGCCTTCCCTGGCTTCTGTGAGTTAATGCAGTGTATCCTTACACACAGAACCCCTACTCTGGCTAAAGTGGGTCTCTGTTGCTTGTACCGAAACATTTCCTGACTAAAACACCCTGAGGCAGGGGCGCCTGGGCGGCTCAGTTGGTTAAGCGTCTGCCTTCGGCTCAGGTCATAATCCCAGGGTCCTGGGATCAAGCCCCACATCGGACTCCCTGCTCAGTGGGGAGCCTGCTTCTCCCGCTTGTGTGCGCTCTCTCTCTCAAATAAATAAAAAATCTTTAAAAAATAAAAAATAGAACACCCTGAGGCAGAGTGCCTTTTCAAAACATGATTGTGACAGCATTTATGGTGTCACACACTCTTCAGTGGCCTTGCCCATCCCTCAGTAAGAGGCGGTCTAGGTCCCCACCCCAGACCTCCATTTCCCAGCAGAGCTTTTGGTCAGCCTTGATGGGCACAGTATGTCGGAAGTGATGGTGTGTGATTTCCAAGAGTAGCTTGTTAAAGGCAAGACACCTTCCACCTGGCCTCTCTCTCTCTCTTCTCTCGATGTTCTCTGTAGAGATCTGAGCCAGGAGTAAGTCCAGAGAGCTCGAGGTCACCATGCTGGAGAGGCCACAAAGAGGGAGGGACAGGAGGAGCCCCAGCCGCAGGGTCCGGACCAAAGTGAGGACTAGGGACTTAGCTTCCGGTGCAAAATTCAAGGAAATGCAAACAACAAGATAAAACAAAAGGACAACAAACCTTTGGCAATCAAGAGAAAAAATATTTTAATGCAATATATTTTAAGTCACTAACCACGCCAAAAAAAAAAATCTATGATGAATGAAATACCAAAAAAATTTTTTTTGAAATATCAAAAATTTAAATAAAGACGGGCTCTACCAGGGCAGCTGGTCCGAGCCATGGCAGAAATGCTCAGCCCCGTATTCATATTTGTTCATATTAAACAATGGTTCATGGTTTTAGTGACACTGTTATTGATGACATGGCACATATTAAAGCCAAAGGAAAATTATAACAAATTCTGGTTTGGATATCAAGTAAATATTTAAACCTAATACTGTGGGTTTTCACACACCTAATTTTCAGTGATGTAGTATTTTTTCAGTTGCCTTAATGTTCTAAAAAAAAAATGATTTTTGTTGTCTTAGGCCACCAATTTTGGGGGAGATTTGTTTCACAGCAATAAATAACCAGAACAGACATCTTCCCATAAATCAGACCCTTCACGTCAGGAAGAAAAAGGAAGGACCTAAAGGCCCCACCTGCCTGCCTTGTGGGGACCACCTTCCCCTTGACTCAGTGGCCCCCTCCCACACTTACAGAGTACAGGTTATTATTGCTCTCCTTCATTGGCAGCTTGTACTGGATGATCACCTTTAGGGTCTCCATTCTGCTCTGCGGAATCTGAAAGAAAGTTCCATGTGGGCCTCATGGCCCTGGGAGAGACTGAGGGTGGATGCCCTTCCTAAGCAATCTCCTACAGTGACCCCAGCCTCTTTTCTTTCCCCTGCCCAGCCCATACAACACTGTTCTTTGTCTTGACTGACAGGACACAACCTGATTTTAGGATGGGGTTCTTTGTGCTCCGTATCAGTAGCCTCCAACACTTCAAGGCCTATGAAGACAACAGCCTCCTGAGTCTTGCTACCCTCACAGAGTCGTGGTTGTTGGTCCGTGAGCCCACCCTTTGCACTGTGCACCCAGGATCCAGCTAACCTCCTAGCTAGTTAGGCAACAAAAATCCTCTGTGAAGGTGACTGGAACCTGGACAAGGTCAGGACTTTCTACCTATACTGAGGGCTCTAAGGTTCAGTTGACCACACCTGCAGGATTCTTGTACCCTGTTGATGCAAAGGAAGAGGGGTGCTTCTACAACATGTCTAGCCAATCCAATGACAAAGTCACTTCCAACATCTGGTATGGTAATTATAATTATAACCAAGTCTCCAGCGTGGATTGAGAGAAGAGGACAGAAGCTCTAGTAATATTTGGACAGGAGGTTTCTAGAGAGAGAGGGAACCGACATCCAGAAAGCTTGGAGCAGGCAATGGCCAGGGATGTTTGAGGAATATATAAAGTCTCGGATGGCTAGGATGAGGATGGAAGGAGAGGATTAGGGATGGAGGCAGGAAAGGATGGTGAGGGCCAGGTTGGCCACACCTTGAAGGCAGTGGCAAGGAGTCTGGAGTTTATTCTAAGGAGGCAGGGAATCACTGAAGAGTGGAGGGCTGTAAGCCATGGGTATTGCCTAGAATAAAAGATTTCCAAGCAGAACTAAATATCCAGTTTGGGAGGAGCGTGTCAGAAGCCTGGCTTTGAATCTTGCATACAAAGTGTATGCGGTATTTTCCAATGGTGGAAAAACCCAAATTGTAAGCCAGTATTTGGCAAAAAGGACCCACTCTTCACCCACCACCCATCCCACAGTTTGTCCTCCTATGAGCAGAAAAAATAGGGAATGACATGAGTATGGGGAACTGTAGAGGCTTCACTTAAGAAAGCACTTTCAGAAAGCTCAAGGCTGGAGGGAGAAGTCTCTTCTTCCTGAACCAGGACAGGAATTAGGTGTCCAAGTAGGCTTGGTGGCAGAGTGTTCTATTTCATTGATTCTAGCTGGATTTCACGGGTCTGGAAAGTCTACCCTAACTTCAGAGATATTAAAATGTCAGAAAACATGACCAACGATGATTGGAGGATGCCATTGACAGCAAGACACATCTCAACTCCAGAGACATTAAAAAGTAGAGAAGTGTGTAACTCAGAAATATGATATTGATGCAACAGCCACAGGGCCCTTGGGCTGAATGGTGAATCTGGCCATCTAGGCTCACCCTCCTGAGGACTCCTCTCCCCATGGGATCCTCCTGCCAAAAGCTGGGTCAGGAAATTGCAGCTCATTCAAACACTAGTAACTGAAAAACTTTCTACAACATCCATACGAAGATACTACAAGAAAAAAAAAGGAGTAAGAAGGGAGCCAAATTTTGTACGTAAAGAAAAGTCACCACAAAGCAAAGGAAAATTGCCACCCAACATTCCAACATAAGATTTAAAACATAACAAAGTAAACACAGCTGAAAAGGAAGAACACAAAGCAAACATACAAGCACTGAGGGAAGAGAGAGCCATACCAGAAAGAGGTGAAACAGGAAGTAGTAGAACTTAGGAAAGAAATAGAAGAGAAAGCCAGAAGCATTTCAGAAATGATGACAGTTATTTTAAAAATGACAATTACAAGGGAGTGTAAGCCTCAAAATAATTACATTTCTAAAAGAAAATAAACAGTGGGCTGTATATAAAATAATACATAAACACATTTTAAAAATAGAAGCTTACATGCTGGGCAGGGAGCCTACTTAAAAAAATTTTTAAAAATAAAAAATAAAATAAATAAAGAGCATTAAAAAAAATAGAAGCTTAGGAGGAAATGAACTTAATACAAATTGGAAATTAGATCCCTGCCACTCCACCCTGTTCCCCCTAGTTATACCAAAGTAGCCGTGGAGGACAGACACTTACTGAACCCAAGAATGGAGCCAGCCCCACCACCCCACCTATCATTAGCATCCACCTGGGAGCAACAGGACAGGTAGTCAGAGCCCTGCAATCCCCCTGGGTGACTGGTGGGCAGTGTTTAGGTTTGGGCTTTACCGAAAGAATTTTCTTTAACTGTAGGTCATTCTCAACCAGCAGGACGTTCACTTTGGCATGAGTAATGATGTACTGACAAGCCTCCGCAGAGTTGGTGGCATAAATACCAACACAAAGACCCCTGGGAAAAGAAAACACATGTGCGTGTGCATGTGCACACACACCCACATCTTAAGGTGGGAATGTCCTGGAAGGTGGGGGGAGGGGAAAGCTCTATAGACAAGTTCTGAGTTTGCAGCCTTGGTACCAGCTTCCCTCCCTCCACAACTTAACCATGATGAAATGAAGCAACAAAATAAGGGTGATGAAAGCAGCAAGTCCTATAATGTCATTGTGATGGCCGATCACAGAGCCCTCACAGCATCCCATTTTAAAGATGAGGAAAGTAAGCCTCAGGGCAGTGAAGTCACTTGTTCAGGGTCCCACGGCAATAGATGCTAGAGGTGGGATTTGGACCCCCACTCAGACCTGTTCCCTTCATTTTGCTGCCTTTTGTTCTTGCCTTTAACCATTCTGTTTTTCAAATTTGCATTTCCCTGATGGTTAATGATGTCCAGCATCTCTTCTAGCGCTTGTTGGCTACTTCCCTTTGTGAGCTTTCTGTTCAAGTCATTTGCTTATTTAAAATCTTTCTTTTTTTTCTTTAAAGATTTTTTAAAGTAATCTCTACACCCAACATGGGGCTCAAACTCATGACCCTGAGATCAAGAGTCACATGCTCTACTGACAGCCAGCCAGCTGCCCCTCCTTTTGTCTTTTTATTACTCAGTTATAGAAGCACCTTATATACCTGAGATGCTAGTCCTTTATCAGATTGATTGGTTGGTGTGTCTGTCTTGCCTTCTAACCTGGGGTTGCACCCGAAATCCCCGATCACATCTCAGTCAGAGCCAGCCCAGGGCTGCTAGCCCAGAGTAGCGGCTTGCCCACATTTAGAGTCAACCAAGCCCACAGTCTTACCCTGCTAAGATGGAACCAAGAGAAGCAATAAACCACTCAATGGAGTTAAACCCCAGGATGCCAACTCCGTGGAAACGCTGCAGGCCCAGCTGTGAAGGCAAAAACAAACAGAAAGCAGAAATACAAAGATGTTTTATTTCTGGGTGGAATCTGCTCACTGGGATGTGTGAAAGCAGACTCCAAAGCCCATGAGGTCACATTGGGAAAAGCCAGTGTTGAACCTAAAATTGGGGGTGTGATATTTTTGTGACTGTTGGGAGGCTGGTTTGCCTCCCTCTACACAACGTACCATTTATTTTTTCTTGTTTGTATGTATTTTTTTTTTATTGTGGTAAACTATACATAGCAATTTTTAGTGCACAGCTCAGTGGCATGAAGCACACTCACACTGTTGTGCAATCATCACCACCATCTATCTCCAGAACTTTCCATCTCCCCAAACTGAGACTCTGCCCCCATGAAGCATTGACTCCCCACCCCCTGACCCAGCCCTGGCTCCCACCATCTCCTCTCTGTCTCTGTGGACGGGACTCCTCTGGGGACATCCTGGGACTGGGGTCCTGCAGCATATGTCCTTCTGGGTCTAGCTCCTCTCACTGAGCAGAGTGTCCTCAAGGTCCATCCACATTGTGGCAGGTGTCAGGATGTCCTTCCGTTGTTAGACCGAATAATAATTTGTTGTGTGGATGGACCACACTGTCTTATCCATTCATCCACCAGTGGACACTTGGTTGCCTCCACATTTTGACTGTTGTTAATAATGCTGCTGTGAACATTGTGTACAAGTATCTATTTGAGTCCTTGCTTTGAATTTTTTTTGGGAATTTTTGGGTCATATGGTAATTCTGTGTTTAATCTTTTGAGAAACCACCACACTGTCTTCCATAATGGCTGCACCATTCTACATTCCCACCAGCAATGCACAAGGGCCCTGGTTTCTTCATATCCTCACTGATACTTATTATTTTGTTCTTTTTTTTTTTTAAGATAATGGCCATCTTAATAGGTGTGAATTTATTTTTATTTGTAATAACAAAAGTACTCCAAGAGTGAAAGCCTGAAGTGGTGATAAATTGCACTTTTAAAGGTGTAGCCTTGGGGCAACTGGGTGGCTCAGTGGGTTAAGCATCTGCCTTTGGCTCAGGTCATGATCCCTGGGTTCTGAGATCAAGCCCCACGTCAGACTCCCTGCTCCACAGGGAGCCTACTTCTCCCTCTCCCTCTGCCTGCTACTCTCCCTGCTTGTGCTCTCTCTGTGTCAAATAAATAAATCTTTAAAAAGAAATAAATAAAGGTGTAGCCTTGATCTGAATGTACTTGAGGATGAACCAGGAAACCCAGACATGAAGGTGATCCTCCTTGGGGGAAGCCCAGGTTTTGACACACCCCAGATTTTAGGCTCAATGCTGGCTTTTCCCAATGTGACTACATGGAGTTTTGGGAAACTCTAACTTTGTTGGCTCTTTTAGTCATATGGGGCAAGGCTGACAATGACCCACTGTTCTTGGGGAAAATGTAAGCATTTGGAAGATATTCAGAACATGATAACAAGTATTACGGCTTAGTAACAAACAGGCTATCTTCTTTGCAGGTAGACAGTCTCTATTAATATGTAGATAAATGGATTTATTACTGTTTAGATCCTTGAGGATTAGAAGAGCAGGGATCTTTGAATCCCCAGATCTAAGGACAGCCAAAGAGGATCATCTCTCAGGAGAGGTGAACTAATCACAGCACTGTAGTGGGGCAGACAAGCAGAAACTCAGTCCTAACAGTTCTGATGACAGTTCTCATCATCTCTCGGTGAAGACACATGGGTGTCAGGGGGAGAGGAGAGAGGAACTCAGGTCTGGGTCAAAATGTGACAGCATTTCCTATAAATCAAAACCACCAGGTATTCCCTTTTATAATAGGAGATACCTATCATATTCATTATCTATTGCTGCATAACATAGCACCACAAACTTAACAGCTTAAAACAACACACATTTATTATTGCAGTTTCCATAGGTCAGGAGTCTGGGGACAGCTTAACTGGGTCCTCTGCTTAGGATCTCCTGAATCTGCAGTTAAGATATCTGCAGGGAGTGCTCGCTTCGGCAGCACATATACTAAGATATCTGCAGGGACTGTGGTCTCCTCTGAAGCTTGAGGATCTTCTCCCACACTTTTGTGTGGGATTGTTTGGATTATTCATTTCCTTGTGGTTTAAATGGTCCTGTTTTCTTCCTAGCTGTCAGCGGAGGACTGCTTTCCTAGAGGTGGTCTGTTGTGCCCTGCCACATAGCCCTGTCCACCACATGGCAATGTGCTTCCTCAATGCCAGCAGAAAAATCTTTCTTTTAATGGTTTTCCTGATTGGGTCAGGCCCACCAGAGTATTTGCTGTTTTGATGAACTCAAAGTCAGCTTATCAGGGAACTTAATTTCATCTGCAAAATCTCTTCACCTTTGCCACCACAGGAGGAAAATCCCATCATAGTCACAAGTCCTGCCCATACTCAAAGGGGGGACTCTGTCTATACAGTGTGAATATGCCAGGGGTTGGGAATCTGGTGGGGGGGTCATTGTAGAATTCTGCCTAACATACCTATCAAAGTAGACAATATGAACATTTTTTATAATATGATGTTGGCAAGAATAATAGGTAAGCAGATTCTCTCACACACTGTGGGCATATAGAGGCACTATTTCTATAAGAATTCATTGTTCAAAGAAGGTTCTCTGTGGCTCCGTATATGGTAGCAAAGCCTGGAAACACCATCAGTACCCACCAGTAGGGGGCTGGTTATGCCAATATTGTTACATATATATTTGCAGTCACTGAAAAGAGTTTGGATTTGTTTTTAGTGAATCAATGTGGAAGGATCTCAGAGTGTGGCAGCCAGCCTCCAAGATGGTCCCCAGTGATTCTCACCTCTTGGGGTTTGTGTTCCTGTATAATCCCCTCCCACATTGTGTCAAGGCTGGTCTGTGTAACCAGTAGACTATGGAAGAAGGGATAGTATGTCACCACTGAGATTGAGTTATGGAAGCTATCAGAAGATATGGTTCCCATTTTGTTCATGCTCTCTTTTGGATCACTCATTCTGGGCTGCCATAGTCTGAGGACACTCAGCCCAATGGAGAAGGCCAGGGAACAAGGAACCAAGGCCTCCTGCCAATAGTGAGCCATGTAAGGAAGCTTACAAGTGGACCCTCTGGCCCTAGTCAAGCCTTCAGATGGACAGCTTGACTACAGCCTCATGAGAGACCCTGCAACTAAATTTTGGAGTAATTTGTTATGCAGCAGTAGCTAACTAACACATAGAGATTTTAAAAAGCAAGATGTGGGGCGCCTGGGTGGCTCAGTTAGTTAAGCATCTAACTTCGGCTCAGGTCATGATCTCTGGGTCTTGGGATCAAGCCCTGAGTTGAGCTCCGTGCTCAGCAGGGAGTCTGCTTGTCCCTCTGCCCCTCCCCCTGCTTGTGTTCTCTCTCTCTCTTTCTCAAATAAATAGGTAAAATCTTAAAAAAAAAAAAAGGCAAAAAAATAGCAAGATGCAGAATCATGGGTAGAGTAGGCTACCATGTGTGTAAAAATTTGCATGTAGAGAAATTTTATAATATATACACACAATTTATTCCCCAAAAGGATTTACAAAAAACTGGCAACGTGGCTGCCTCCATAAGGGAAGGGGTCAAGGATTAAAGGGAAAATTCTCACTGGTTAACCTTCATATCTTATGGTGTCTCGTGCATTTTATACCATAGGTATGTGTATGTAGAATGAATGATTGACTAAGTGATGAATGAATGAATGAACAACTCATTTACCTTGATCATGGCTCTTGCAGCCTTCCGACAAGCCTCATAGTACTGGTTGAAATTCAGAACTTCCCACTGCTCACTGTTCTTTGTTGCAAGGGCTGGATATGTCCCAAATCGGCTGACTGACTCCCGAAAAAATTCAGGGATGGTTACTGGGGTCTCGTGGCCTGGCCCATGTTTTGATAGTCTCAGAAGGACTTCTCCATCTCGATGAATGGTCCACAGTCCAGGAGTAACTGCAAACAGCCACCAGAGTTTGTGGCAAATGTCTTTATTAACTTTGGGGGAGGAGTGTCCTCTTTGGGCTTGAATGGCTGAGGTTGAATTAATCCCACTCGTCGGGTAAAGTCACATGGCCAACACCAGCCCATTCATGCTTTCTCTTTCTTACTTTTCCTTACCCACCCCCAACAATTTACTATGAAAAATTTCACACATACAAGAAACTTGAATGGCGTGTATAGCCAACATCCTCTGACTCACCATGTGGTTTCCACAGCGCTAGCATTTGCTCCATTTGCTTTATCACATCTCTGTCCAGCCAGCTCTGTACATCCATCCATCACTCCATCTACTTCAAAGTAAGCTGTGGCTATCTATCCATTTCACCCTTAAACACTTTAGCATGTGAATCATTAACTAGAGTTCCATATTACTTACAGATTTTTTTAAAGGTAAAATTTACATGCAGCAGACTACATATGCTTTGGTCAGTGGAATGTGAGAAGTGGCTATTTTGTGTCTCTCCCAGGCGGAAGGTTTAAGAGCCAGTGTGTGACTCGCCGTACCCCATTCTCCTCACAAAAATGGTGCAAGCACATGTCAGGGAGGAACCCTAGTGCCAGATACACATAATGCAATCAAGAAACAAGCATGTGTTGTGTTAAGCTGTTGAGGTTTGGGGTTGGATGTTACAGCAGCATCACGCAGACCACCCTGGATACCACCACTTACGTGGAACTGGCAAAGGGGCTGACTCAAAACCAGTTTGTTTCCCTTCATCCCTCACCTTCTTTAAGGGTGTGAAATGGTTTACTCCTAGAAAGAAGAGAAGAGGGTTTCCTCTGGAGAGAGCTGGTGTGCAGTGTGTTGCTCATCACCCCCAACCATGGGCCAAGTGAGAGAAGATTCTGGAAACCCTCTTGGGGAACTGAGGATGTGAATCTTGACTTTGTTGGACTGAAACTTATCCACTGGAGAGGTGGTGGCTGGAAATGGCCGAGTAGACAGCAGGGTTGGGAGAACACTGCACGTCTACCTACTGTGGGACATGGATTTTTCCCTGTGACTGACATGGACCTCAGGGAGGGGCTCCTAAAGGCTTTTGCCTGGAAGCCAGTAGAAAGAACCTGGAGATCTGTGTTCAGAGGCAGACACTGAGGAAAGTCACCAGTGGGCGCTGAGAAAAGAGCATGAACTATGTATTAGCTAGGGCTGCCGTGACAAAGTTCCCCAGACTGAGTGGCCAGAACAACAGAAATCTATTCTCTCAGTTCTGGAGATATAAGTTTGAGATCAAGATGTGGGCAGAGTTGGCTCCTTTGGAGGCCATGAGGGAGAATGGGTTCCATGTGTCTCTCCTAGTTCCTGGTGATTTGCTGGCCATCTTTGGAGTTCCTTGGCTTACAGAAGCATCACCCCAGTCTCTGCCCTCAGCTTCACGTGACGTTCCCCCTGTGTGTCTCTCTCTGTCCAACTCGACCCTTTTCATATGGACACCAGTCATATTGAGTTAGGACCCATGCGAATGACCACATCTGCAATGAGCCCTCTTTCCAAATAAGTCACATCCTGAGGTGCTCATGTTGGGGCGTGTCTTCGTTCATGTGACTCTGCTCTAGCACAAGACAAGACATGTATAAATAACAGACACCTTTTTCTCATAGTTGTGGGGGCTGGAAGTCCCAAGATCAAGGCACTAGCAGATTCAGTGTCTGGTGAGAACCTGCTTTCTGGTTCATAGTGGCTTCTCACTGCGTCCTCACTTGGCAGAAGGGGTGAGGGAGCTGTCTGGGACCTCTTCTATAAGGACATTGATCCAGTTCACGTGGGCTTCACCCTCATGACCTGATCCCCTCCCAAAGGCCCCACCTTCTAATATAATCACGTTGGGGTAAGTTTTAACATGAGTTTTGGAGGGATGTAAGTTTTCAGACCATAACAGGGGGAAACAGTTCAACCCATGACAGCCTACATCAAGGCAAGGATAGTTCAGAGGTTCCCCCTCACACACCCCCAAGGAGAATTAGCAGTAGGCGGCATACCAGCTTACAATGGGCAACAGGGGAAAACATCATGGAGGAGATGACAGAGCAGCACATCGGGCCTCCCCGCCCCCACTGCTCCAGGCATCCAGCCCGAAGCCCAGGGGAAGGGAGAAGCTCATTTAAATGGGACAAAAATGTGAAGGGGTGTCCCCTGCATCCTGGTTAGGGATATTTTATTGGCTATATTGGGTTGAATGATGCTCCCCCAAAATTCATGTCAGAATCTCAGAATATGACCTTATTTGGAAATAGGGCCTTGGCAGTGGAATCAGTTGAGGATCCCAAGATGAAATTCTGGATGTAGGGTTGGCCCTAAATCTAATGACTGGTGTCCTTATAGGAAAAGGAGAGAACACCAAGACACCCAGAGAAAAAGGCCATGTAATGATAGAGGCAGAGATTGCCGTGATGAGTTTGTAAACCAGGGACCACCAACGATTGCCCAGAGCCACCAGGAGCCCAGCGAGCATGGAACACATTGTCCATCACAGCCTCCAGGAAGAGCCAACCCAGCCAACACCTGGATATCAGACTTCCAGCCTCCAGAAGGAGTTGCTGTTGTTTCTACCACCCGTCCTGGGATACTTTGTTACGGCAGCCCTAGGAATCTGACCCAGTGACCAAAATGAGATTCTGAAGATTATTGTCACTTGAGAATGATTGTAGAAGCTGTCTTTCTTGCCAACATTTTATGCACTTGGAAGAGGGCAGCTGTGAAAGATAATGAAGACGCTCTATCTCGTGGTGCTCCCGGAGCTTTGTTCCAGCGGCAAAGTGGTTACAACATACAGATGAAAATCATTATCACACACCTGCACTATATGTATTTATTATATATAGATAATATAAATGTTAATATATAGTAGCATTTAATTACAATATATCTGTACTATATTATATATATTCGTGTCTGTACTATAGAAATATTATATCTGCAGTATATACATTTTCAGTTGCATCTGCATTATGTATAATTACATCTGCATTATATATATATGAGTACATCTGCTATATTATTACATCTGCACTATATTATTATATCTGGCCTATATTACATCTGGACTATATACACATATATATATACACACAATTGCCTCTTGTATTGCATATATAATACACATATATATTGCATATATGTAATTGCATATAAAATACATATATATATATATATATACAATTGCATCTGTACTTTATGTATATATACACAATTATACCGACTACATGTATTATATATTATTACATCGGCACTATATACATTATTACATCTGGCCTGTATTACATCTGGACTATATATATTACTACATCTGTACTATATATATACAATTGCATCTGTACTTGATATATATACACACCCACTATATGTATTATTATATTTATATCTATACTATATTTTATTACATTTGCACTATACATATTATTACATTGTATATACACACACACATATATATTTATAATTTTATCTACACTATATTTAATGGTTCCTTGGTGCTTTACCCACATGGCTGTCCTAATAGCGAGGTGTTATGATCAATGTCCTGTGGTACAAATGATCCAAATGAGGTTTCCAAAGAGCAAGGCCCTCACCCACTGTCACAGGACTGGTCGAGCTCTGCTCAGACAGCAGCTTGTCTGTGCTGCCTGCGTTCCATATCCGGTGTAGGTAGGAGTCGCCTGTCCCTCCACCCCCATTTCAGGCACCTCAGCCAAAGCCAGGGGCCCAGGCAAGGACCAAGTGTGCCCTGACTCTCGGGGTGGGGGGTGCTCCTTTATGAAAAGGCTTGGCTGAGTCCGTGCCCCTTTCTCTTTCCCATGTGCACTCTAGCACAGCATACCTTTGTTTTTACTCATGTCTCCTTCAGGGTCCTTAATCTCCACTTCACGAGTCATGGGGTTTTCAGCCCTTTCAGGTCCAGAGACACCATGCTTCACAGCACTGCAAGGCACAAAGCAGGGAACTTAGCAGGACCGGCAAAGGGGCTGCAGGTCTGAGGCCAACTTCCGTCCACTGGTCACATCTGCCTAAAATCCTGGGATTGATTAGTCATGCTTGTCCCAGGCCTAGGAGGGGAGGAGAGTGGTGTGTGTGCCAGATCATAGAGCAGTTGTAAGTCCAGAGGGCATTCAATCTGTGAGTTTTCAGAAGAGTCTCTTAAACGGTTGGAGTGTAGCAACCAAGTCTATATGTGGTCCTGTGGGTGAGAAAACATTTTGAACTCTCCCAAGGGAAAGAAACCCACAAGAGAATTCTGTTCTGGTTGATTGCCTTAAAGATTGTATGACATGAAAACCCAAAGGACGTAAAGGAAAAACAGAAAATCTTGCTACATTAAGAAATTTTAATTTCCCACATGGCAAAAGGATACCATAAACAATCAAAAGATTCACAACAAACTGAGAAAAAATATGGGTAACATGTCTAATAGATAAAGGCCTGATTTCCTTTATATGTGAAGAACTCCAGTGGATCAATAAGAAAAAGTCCCCGTACCCCACAGGGGATAAATAGAAAGTTCCCAGAAAACAAATTTAAAATGACTTTCTCAGTCATGAGAGAATGCAATAGAAAATATTATGATGTATTTCACCTGCCAGATTAAGCTCAAAAAGGCTGAAAAATATATTAGTGAAGATGTGGGGAGACAGACACTTCCATACATTGTGAGACTGATGCAGCCCCCTTGGAAGACAGTGGCCAGTGGTCAGACTTCAGATCATGTGGTCGCTAACCCATCCTTGGAGGACAGTGATGATTCTGGCTGCTGTAGTCCTTACATGCTCATTAACTGGACTCCGTTGTTTGAAGCCTTTCGTGTAGGATGGGGTCAACCACCACTCCTTACCCTTGTCTGACTTTCAGTGTGTTAATCCTTAAATCTATTAAGCAACATTCTTTTATTTTTTTTTTAAGATTTTATTTATATATTTGAGAGAGCATGAGAGCAAGATTGAGAGAACGAGTTGGGGGAGAGGCAGAGGGAGAAGCAGGCTCCCCACTGAGTGGGGAGCCTGACTCAGGACTCGATCCCAGGACCCTGAGATCATGACCTGAGCCGAAGGCAGCCACTTAACCGACTGAGCCACCCAGGCGCCCCTAAGCAACACTCTTTTAAACATTTACTTAACAAAAATTAATAGTTGTTTTCCTAGACAAAATTGTGTTCCCCCAAATTCATATGTTGAGGCCCTAACCCCCCAGTATGATTGTATTTGGAGATGGAACCTTTAGGGAAGTAATTCCGGTTAAAGGAAGTCATAATAGTGGGGCCCTGATCCAATAGGATTAGTATCTTTATAAGAGGAAAGGAAACTAGCTCTTGCTCTCACTCCGCCTTGTGAAGACACGGCTGTCTGCAAGCTATGAAGAGGGCTGTCCCCAGAAACCAGCCCCGCTGACACCTTGATCTTGGACTTCCAGCCTCGAGAACAGAGAGAAAATACATTTCTGCAAAGTAACCCATTCTGCAGTACTTTGTTATGGCAGCCCTAGGGAGCTAATCCAGTTGCATAAATATTTAGAAGATACTAACTCTTAAATGCCATTTAATTAACTTAGGAATTTAGCAAATCAAAATTTCTAAAGCGTTTGAACATTGGCCACATGTTTCATTAATCAGATTTCCCTAAGCATGTAATTAAAACCACAAATCCAGTATGTTATTTTGTTCCAATGCAAGATGTCTGCAGACAACATCAGCCTTAGAGGCCAGAATTGCTGGCTGACATTTGAAAACAGTGTGTCAGTGGTTTCTGTGAAGGAAAATCGTCTTTTCTTGCTCATGACAAACATTATACTTGATACAAGATTCAGACAGTCCTAAATTCTAGATTTGCAGTTCACGTTCTGCAAGAACCTGATGATACACGGTCTGGCGAATGTAACCCCATAATCTGTGCACAGTTCTACGCTAGCAGATACCGGCTGTGTATTTCAGCGAAAATGAGTAGCTAGAAAGGCACATTATAATAGGAACTTAAGTGAGTCTCTGTGGCATTTATACACACAGGGTAGACCAATCAGTGGAGCAAAGCAAATAGCCAAACATAGCCGATCTGAATGAAGCTAGGAACACGCATGCAAAGACATTCATAAAGTGTGCCACAAAAGAAGAAACCAGGAAGTCCAAGGTCCTCCTAGAGCAGCTGGATCTGGCTCAGAACCTTGGTGTCCCACCTGATCTACCCTTTCACCTCCACTGCTCCCTCTCCCTCCCTTCCTTCATTCCATCACCCTTCCACACACCCATCCATCCAACTTTCCATCCTTCCCCCATCATCCATCCTTCCATCCACTCATCCACTCATCCATCTATCTACCCATCACCTAACCAACTTCCTTCCCTCCCTCCCTTTATCTCTCTCCTCTCTTCTCTCCCTTATCTGTTTCCATTCTTCCTTCCTTGCTTCCTTCTGTCTCCTTCTGCTCTCCTCCCTCCCTCCTCCCCTTCCCTCCCCTTCTCCCTCTCTCCTTCTTCTCCCTCTTTCCCCCACATCTGGCCCATCCACAAATTCCATCAGCTAAGTCTTCAAAATAGGTCCACAAACAACTGCTCCCCTGGACAGGCGCAGCTACCTGGAACCTGGGCTCCCTCCCATGAGCCAGAGGGACCCCGCAGAAGGGTGGATCCCATCAACCACGTTCAATGCGTGGATTCCAGCCAGATCCCAACCCCAACAAGGCATCTGTGATCAATGAGGACTTGAACACTGACTGGATGTCAAATGACACGAAGAAAGGATGGTCACTTTTTAAAGTGTGATCATGGCTTTGGGACTAAGTTAAAGAATCTCTGTTGCTAAAGGATTCACACGTGAAATAACACACTGTCTGGAGTTTGCCTTAAAACAGTCCAGCAGGAGCATGGCTACATGGAGAGAAACAAGGCCAGCTCCACATCGATAATTATCAGAGCAAAGTAATGGGCACAGTTGTTGCTGTCGTTGGGGGGGTGGGTCATGACACTACCAGCTCTATTTGTGTGTGTGTTTGAAATGTTCCATCATAAAAACTGTAAAAAAAAAAACGAATAAAATAAAATGTTGGTCTAACCCTGTCCCTCCTCTGCCTGCAGCCCTCCAGGGCTCCCACCTCCCTCAGGATATAAGCCCACATCCTCCCTCTGCCCACAAGGTCCTGCGCAGCTGCCTGCCCCTCTCTCCCCTCCTTTCCCCTCCCATCTCTGTGGTACATCCATACCATGGAATACCACACCTCAGAGGATGGAACTGTGGATGCAACAGTTTGAGCAAGTCTCAGAGGCCTGAGGGGAAAAGCCAGATTCAAAAGGCCATGTGCTCTGTGATTCCATTTATGTGACTTTCTGGAAAAGGCAAAACAGTAGTGACAGAGAACAGATCGGAGGTTGCCAGGAGTTGGGGTGCGAAGTGGGGTTGATGGTGAAGGGGAAACAGAAGGGAATTTGGGGGTGTGGTGGCAACAGTGACTGTGCTGTTGGTTATACGACTCCAAGTATTTGCCAGAACTCTAGAACTCTGCCCCAAAAACATGAAGTCTACAATGTGCGAAGAAAGTATGCTGTGCACCTTAAAATGGACAACTGAAAAATGTTCTGTAGCTAATTCATTGGGTTTTCCAGTATCACTAAAGATAAAATGTAAGGAGCAAATAGCCTTTTAGTAACCACTTCCCATTTCCCATCAAGACTTAGTTCTTGCCCATAGTATGCCAATTCTGTATTAATTGTTTAAAAGCCTAATCATGGGGCGCCGGGGTGGCTCAGTCGGTTAAGCGTCTGCCTTCAGTTCAGGTCATGATCCCAGGGATTGATCCCTGTGTAGGGCTCCCTGCTCAGCGGGGAGCCTGCCTCTCCCTCTGCCCCGGCCCCTCCCCCCACTCATGCTCTCTCTCTCTCTCTCAAATAAATAAATAAAATCTTAAAAAAATAAAATAAAAGCCTAATCACTTTTCCAAGTATGTGTTACATGGTGATAGCATTCTTTCAAGTTAGCTATGTTTTTATTCTATCAGTCTAAAGAGAAAAATTTCCTCCAACCAGTTAGTGTTTTATTAAAAAAAAAATATGTTATATAAAAAAGGGCTTCCTTTGGCAAAGTAAAAAAGAAAAGGTGTACTATACAACAAAATTATGTATCCCCCTTAAAAGTAAGACTTGGGATAAAATGTAAAAATGAATAAGATTATAATAAAATATCTACCTCGTGCAGGGCACCGTGACAAACATTTTGGGGTTACCATAAAGGACCTTGAGGACAGATCTGCCCAGAGTTCCAACCGGGAGTAGGACCCATATGAAGACAAACCAAAGGAGATTGGAGACACCAAAGAATTACCCACCAAGGGATGGGGATGGAGGGTGATAGCTTGATGTGTGCAGAGTTTCCTTTTGGGGCAGTGAACAATTTTTGGAACTAAACAGAAGTGATAGTTGCACAAGACTGTGAATGCACTAAATGCTGCTGAGCCAACCACTGGAAAAAGGTTAATTTTGTGTTATGTGAATCTCACCTCGATGAAAGACACACCCCAGAGAGGTTGGTTCATGGTTACTGAATTTGAATGTTCTTCAAAACAAGATATTAAATCGGAAAAGCAAGATTCAGGACAACATACAAAGAGGTGGCTGTTTGTGTAGGTGAATGGGTTTGTATACGTGTTTGTGACTTAGGAAAACACTGTTGTGTCTCTGGTCTAAGGAGCTGTGGGCTCCTTGGCAGTCATAAAGCAAAATGCAAACAATCTGACCCCACCACTGAAGCCTTGAGAAGGGGAAGATGATAGGTCTCAAATCATAAAGTCCCCAGTGCCCACGGCCGGGGGGCATGCCCTGGTTTCTTTCAAGCTTAACCATTATCAAGAATCTTTCCTACACACTCAGTGAGGGAGAAGGGCAGAGGTCGATCGTGGGACCCTACTGTTCTCTTCTCCCTGTATCTCCTGAGCATCTACTGTGTGCC